TTTGTCCTTACTAGAGCAGACACTTAGTCACTTATGAATTTGCCTTTCCTAGTTCTAACAAAAGTACCATTAGTGAACTTACAGAATACTTTATCTGTTAAGTTTCAAACCTGGGACAAGTAGCTCAGGTGCCTATTTAACCTGGCCTCCAGGTTCTCCCAGTATCCCTCAGTCCCTACCTGTTACAAGGTATGGCTGGCTTATCCTTCCCCCAGAGGCTCTTCCCTATATAACCTATATAATTTCGGTTACCTGCCCTCTTTGGTACCTTTGGCCTCCTGGTGCTGTTCTTGGTTCCGCTCTCTCCTTTTCCCTCCCCTTCTCCTCACATGGTTCAGCCATGTCCACTCTGGACTCTCCCAGATGTGTCTGCCTCTGGCTATGCTCTCCCACACATCTATAACGAACTTTCTTCTCCACCTAGGAGCAGTCATCAATCATGTCCTTCTTTTCTTTTTCCCACTCATTATCCACCATCATGGGATTCTACACCAAACTGTTTCTGACCAAGGAACTTACTTCTCAGACAGAAATTGTGACAGTGGGCCCACATTCATGGACTCCACTGGTCTTCCCATGTTCCCCACTGTTCTGAAGCAGCTGACCTGATCGAATGTGCAATGGCTTTTTAAAGACACAGTTCATTAGGAGGCTAATGAGAAAGTGGAAGCAAGAAGAGAAGTTTAGGGTTGGGACAAGAGAGAGGACCTGCTGGTTAAAAGTGTATGCTGCTTTTTCAGAAGATTCAAATTTGGCTCCTAGCACCCACATCGGGCAGCTCACAACTGCCTCTAAGTCCAGCTCCAGAGGGATCCAAATCCTCTGGTCTGAGGGCATGGGTACTTACACAGACATAACCACACACACATACACATAATTTAAAAAAACAAAATTGCTTCAAAGCCATCCTAGTCTACACCATGTATCAAGTCTGAAGCCAGTCTAGGATACATGAAACCCTATCTCAAAAAAGTAAAATTAATAGTTTAAAACAGGGTTGAGGATACGGCTCAGAGTACTGAGCTCCAAGCCAGCGTAGAAGAGATGACTCAGAAATTAAAGTACTTATTCTTACAGAAGATCCAGGTCCAGTTCCTAGCACATGGTGTCTTGCAACCATCCATACCCTAATCTTCTGACACACCAGGCACATACATGGTACAAATACATACATGTAAGCAAAATGTTCCTACACATTAAAATATTCTTAATTAAAGAAGATTAAAGTAACAGAGGGTCATGGTAATGGCACTTCCTGCCAAGCCTAGCGACCTGAGTTAAATCCCTAGGACTCGCACAGCATAGAGAATAACTATGACAAAATATAAAGTACATATGTGATCTATGATACACTTCATATGGAAAGTGTAAAAAAAATTTTTAAAATAAAACGCCAGCCTGCCAGTCATCGTGGCACATGGTTTTAATATCAGCAGCACTGAGGAGGCAGAGGCAAAAGGGACTTGGTGAGTTCAAGGACAGCTTGGTCTCCATAGTTTCAGCCAAGGACTCATTGTAAGAATGTCACAAAATAAAATAAAAATAAAATAAAGAGGCACTTCTAATAAACATGTCAGCTCAAATCAAGCACATAACAATCAGTGCTCACGAAGCATATTTAGCTGTAAAATGAAACATGAGGAAAGTGGTGTAATTTGTAGGCCACAGTAGCTCTTGCCTAGGACCTAAGCCCTTGAGAGACTCAGACATGGTTCCAGGCCAATCTGGATACCAAGTGTGACCCTATCTCAAAAACTACAGACATGCTAACGTCTTAGCAGGTGAAAGTGCTTGCTGCCAAGCCTAATAACCCGAGTTCCCATCACCAGAATGTACATGGCAGAAGGAAAGAATCAACTCTTCCAACTTGTCCTCTGACTTCCACATGTGTGCTATGTCTCGCATTTGTGCAAGCACACACAAAAATAAAGTAAAAATCAACAAAAAGCTATACTACCTTTCTACTGATAAGTTATCCTAAATCCATACATTCCTTGAGACTGGCTGGACAGCCAAGAACGAAGCTCATGGCTAAACTCAATGCAAATGGTGCCCCCTTGCCTACCACTCAAATTCCCATTTACATCTCCTATCCGCTCTCCCTAACACTCTCCTAATTTAAAGAAGGCCACTGATATTACAAAGGACACCGTGTCTACACGTCTTAACCAGTTTTAATTATACTGACACATTTGACAACAAGAAAGAGCTCAGTGCGGTGGCTGGCGCAGCCTTTAATTCCAGCATTCAGGAGACAGAAGCAGGAGGCTCCCGGAGAGTTTGAGACTAGCCTGGTTTATGTAGTGAGACCTCATCTCAAAAATAAATACAGTAAATAAGGAGCAGGAGAGACGGCTTAAAAGACGGCTCAGAAGTTAAACCACTCATCGCTCTCTCCTGGGTTCAATTCCCAGCAACCACATGGCCACTCACAACTACCTATAACTTTAGTTTCAGGAGACTCAATGCTCCCTTCTGTCCCCCACAGTGACTAGGCATGAAGTGGTACACAGGCAGACATGCTGGCAACCAACCACACATATTAAAGATAAAGAGGGCCAGGTGTGGTGGCACATGCTCGCAATCCGAGCACTCAGGAAGCTGGGGCCGGATCTTCCAGGTCAGGATCAATCTAGAGCTGTCAATATGGCTCAGTGGACAAAGGTGATTGTCACCAGACATAATGACCTAACTTTGATCCTCAGGACCCACAGGGTAGAACTGACTTCCACAAGCTGACATCTGACCACGCTCCTTGCACCATGACACAAGCACCCACACAGTTTTCCTTTCCACTGACACACCTTCCATATGCAAAAACCAACCTGGGCTACAGTAAGGCTGTGTGTCTAAGACAAACAAAGAACAAGAAAGAAAGGAAAAGAACCAGAGAACTGGCTTTACTCTAGGACTTGGGAGCAAGTGAAGGACCTCTCTTAAAGCTCCAGAGAACAAAACAGGGAGAAGAGACAAGAGTTCAGATTCAAAATGAGCTTCACTTTTGCTCCATCAAGCCTTGATTAGTTAGTAAGACAGGAAGGCTAGAGCCACAGAAAGGAAACAAATAAATCATAATTAAATTGGCACTGATGTGGCTCAGCTGGGAGAGTGCTTGCCTGACATGCATAAGGCCCTGGGTTTGATTCCCAACACTACTTAAACCTGGGTGAGGGAAAATTCCAGCATTGAGATGGAGGCAGGAGGATCACAAGTTCAAGGATATCTTCTGCAACTTGAGCTCCTACCTTAAAAACTAAAGTTAAAAAGACAGCTGCCAAGATGGCTCAGCAGAAAACGTCCTTTGCCACCCAGCCTAATGACTTGAGCTTGAGCCCCAGAATCCACAACTCCCTCAAAGTTGTCCTCAGACCTCCCCAAACAAAATAAATAAAAAACAAATTATAAAAGTACAAAAGACTTCATTTCCAGAGGAGTTATTGGCAGCAAGATGCTGACCGGAGTGTGGGCACTCCCACACTATATTGTCCTGTGCTGCCACTCACCGTATTTCCAACCATCCAAAGGTGAGAGGTCATGGCTTGAGAATGCAGTAAGGCTCACCACTTTGCACTACTTGCTATTCTGTCTTCTGTGTGTTCATAAAGTGAAGAGAGAAGCCAGAAGACAACCCCAGGTGTCATTCCTCGGGTGCCATCCACTTTATTTTTACATACTGGGTCTTTCACTAACCTAGGCCTCACCAATTTTGGTAAGCAGGCTAGCTAGCTCGTAAGCTCCAGGGATCCGTCCACCTGTCTCTGCCTCCCTAGTGCTGGGTCTAGCACGCTCGGCTTCCCGCCCAGACTCTGGGCAGCAAACCTAGGTCCTCATGCTTCCATGACAAGCACTTTACCAACTGCATTGTCTCTCTAGCCCTCCATTGCTGCTGTTTTTAACGATTTGCTTATTGATAGATTTAAGTATATGGGTGTTTCATCTGTGTAACCGAAGAGGGCATCGATCCCATGGGACTACAGTTATACAGAGTTGTGAGCTGCGATGTAGGTGCTGGGCTTGAATTCAGGATCTCTAGAAGAGCAGCCAGTGCTCCTAACTGCTGTTTTTCAACTAAAGGACCTTTCTTATTGCATTCATAGTGGCATATGCCTGCAGTCCAAACACTTAGGTAGCAAAGAAAGAAGAGATTGGGGAGGCAGAGGCAGGCAGATTTCTGAGTTCGAGGCCAGCCTGGTCTACAGAGTAAGTTCCAGGACAGCCAGGGCTACACAGAGAAATCCTGTCTCGAAAAAGAAAGAAAGAAAGAAAGAAAGAAAGAAAGAAAGAAAGAAAGAAAGAAAGAAAGAAGAGATCGCCTCAAATTCAAGGCCAATTTGGTTTACTTAGTGAGTTCCAGGCTAGCCTGGGTGTCATAACAAAATCTTGTTTCCAAAAAATAAAATACGACGGTTTCAGTATTACCATTAGGTCTCCTATCTTGATTTCCCCCAGATTTACTAGAGCAGACACCATATAATTTTATCTCTTTTATTTCAAACTATCCAAGAAGCAGTGTTCCCCGAAAAATACTACCTGACACATCAAACTCAAATCACCTCATGTTAAGAGCCTCACCACTCCACAGAGCCATTCAAACATTCCACTGTACACTAAGAATGGAGAACTCCAAACTTGCCTCCGTTTATTTCTCAAGGTACACCATAAAGACTACATTTGTAATCAGAGTCCTTGTGTCTCCACAGGAGACTACATCTCCCTGACAAAATGCAAGCCCATTTAGTGGCTTCATCTGAGCATTTCCCATTGCACTCCTGCAGAGTACTAGTGGCCATGAAAGGTAACAAAGAAACAGTACCAATTTTTTACACAAAAACCTCCTGGATACCATATGAAACAATAAGAAAAGGCCTTTTTCTCTCTCACTGCAAGCGCTGGTGTTGATCACTTCAATAATTCTATCACACTGTAAAGGAAAAAAAGAAAGAAAAACCATTTGAGATGACCCCATCTCTCCCCAAATCATTAAACCGAGATTGTCTTACCCTCTCTCTCTCTTCCTCCTGTCGTCTTAGTCCTTCTCCTTTCCAGGGCTCCTGAACTTTCTGGAAACAAATTGTCTAGGTTACAGAGGCCAGTCAGAAAAGGCCACCAGAGAGAACTGTGGAGAACCTCAGAAGTTGACTGTCAGCAATTTGGAAAGCAGACAGTTTCCCCAACCGACAATCCAAGGATGGAAGGACGAGAGTCACAGGCGTTCAGTGACACCCACTAAGTGTACATAAGGGAAATAAAGCCAGTTCCCCAAAACTAAGATAAATTCTATCAGCAGCGTTTGGGTTCCACTCCTAGGCTCAGGCACTTAATTCTTCATTCCCCCCAGGGCTACAGGGAACCAGGAGTCAGAGAACAGAAGAGATGGAGGAGGGTCCTTGCCCCTGGGAAGTGGCTTTAGAAAGCAAAGCTGAAGGTAGGGGGATGCCCTAGCCCTTGTGTCAGGCACAGTGCCAAGTTCAGGCTCAGCCACTTCCTCTAGCCTCGCCCCCCCTACACACACACACACACACACACACTTCAGCTAGGACTTCGCCCCCTTCCTACCCAAGGCCTTGTGCCAACAAGTACCTCCTTCAACCTTCAGTGGTCTATATACTGGAGACTCCCAGCTGTCCCCCTAAAACCTTCGCTCCCCTGAGACACCGAACTGGGTCCTTCCTCCCGATGTCAAGTCCTACTCCTTCCTCAAAGACCGGACTTTGGGACGTCCCTCCTTCACCCCTCCAGGGAGCTGAACTCTGCCACCCACCAGACAGGCACCCGCCCCCTAGACCCCCCCCATTCCTCCTCATCGCCCGCTCCTCCACAACCACTTCCGGTTCCGGGACAGACACACTTACAGTCACATCGTGGACCCCCCCTCCCCACTCGCCCGAGGAAAAGGGGAGGGGGAGGAGCAAGGGGCTTGGCGCGCAGCGACTGCAGCGGCGCGAGACTCACCAGGCGGCGGCGGCGGCGCCGGCGCCAGCGCCAGAGCCAGTGCGCGGGAGGGGCGGCGTTCCCAGGGAAAGGAAGGAGCCGAGGGAGTGGGAGGACCCGCAGGGCGCGGGATAGGAAACGCAAGGCGGGGCGCGCCGGCATGCACTGCAGGCGCGAGACGGGCTCCCTTACACTCGCACGGGCTGCGCGCGAGACACCCGCAGGGCGGGGGCGCGAGGCAGCGTGGGGGCCCCCCCGCCCTCCTGAACACTCACCCGGAAGTGGTGCTGCGGCTCGTGCTCCCGGGAACCCCAACTCCTCCACGCCCACTTTCCTCCCCCCCCCCACCCGCCAGCAGCCTCAATGAGCCGTCGTTTCACGGAGAAGGCGGGAGAGCCGGAAACGAAAACGGGGTGTGTTGGGGGGGAGGGAGGAAAATAGCGGGGGGAGGGCGGCAGCAGGAAACGGGGGTGAGAGTTCAGAGACCGAGTCACTTCCGAGAGCGGCTAGGACACATCCGGCGCTGTCAGGGCTCGGGCATATTTAGGGCCGAAGTTACGACAAGTAAGGGCGGAAGTAGCTCCTAGCAAGGGACCTGTAGAGCGCTGGGTGGATGTGACGCCCAGACGGAAGTGAAGGCTGGTTCTATTAAAGGGCTGAAGCTGAGCATTAGAAGAGCGCGCCCGGACTTCCGGAAGTGACTTCTGGGGAAGTTGGAGGATGGAAACTAGACGGGCTCATGAATTATGCATCAAGACGCTAAAGACGGTTTAGATTTACCTTCTTTCTCTAGGTTTATCTTACTTTTATATGCTTGTATCTGTGCAAATGCAGGCCATGTGTGTGCAGGTGCCCTCAGCAGACCATTGGAGTTATAGACAGCTTCGAGCTTCCCTGTCTGCCTACCGGGAACCGAACCTCCGGTCCTCCGGAAGAGTAGCTAGCACTCCTTACAGTTGAGCCAACTCTTCAGCCCCAAAGAGACCGTGCGGAATCTGAAAAGACAGGAGTCACAGCTCGTTTCTGAGTGGACTAGGTTGTTGTAGGGAATTAACCTTTTTTCTTGGATCTTCCTGAATGTCTTTTTGCTGAGCTTGGGTGGGGAAATTCTCATTTCTTTGAATATTCAAGAAAGGTAAGAATGTCCATAGTTGTTTGAGGTTTCGGGATCAGTGCTATTAAAAGTTCAGTCGGTCTTCCTCTGACCACACCGTTACTCTTTTCGCTTTGGTCTTTAGTTGTTGCCAACACCCATATCTCGGCTTTTACTTCTAAATACGACACTCAGCATACCTGATGTTATTTACGTCTCACCTCCTCCCAGCTCCATAAGGGCAAGGACTTTGAATTGCTCCCAATGGTATCAACAGATCACAGAATGTATTAAGCATTCCAGTAAACATTTGTTACATAAATGAACAATTCATTATGAACTATTGCAGGAGATTTAACCTGATTGCTGCAACCTAAAGTTTCTTTTACTTTCATAGTATTTGGTGTGTCTTTGTCGTTTCATTTTTATTATTCATTTTATTTTTGAGACAGGGTTTATCTGTGTAGCCCTGGCTGTTCTGGAACCTTCTCTTTCTGCAAGCCAGGCTGTCCTTGAACTCAGAGACCCATCTGCTTCTGCCTCCCACCACCCAGCTATGTCTTTGTCTTTGAGACAGGGTCTTACATTGGTGTATTTAAAACTGGCCTTGAATTCTTGATCCGATCTCCTCCACCTTTTAAGTGATAAGATCTTGTTCCTCTCTTAGTCTATCGTTCTTACTGTTAATTTTAATAAATTTGTATGTCTGAATCCCTCCTAAGATTGTCAGGGAAGAAACTGCTCACATTACATACTGAAATAATATATGTGTGAAATCACAGATGCTGCCCCTAAGAAGATCAGCTTCCTTCTATCCTAACTGGGGCCTTCCCTAAGCTGCTAAACTGCTAGCATGTAACAGCCCCAAGGTAGGATGGGGCAATGGGACTAAACATCATAAATGACTGCTTTCCGTCCCATCTGCTACCTTCACTAATCTGCTAGGCTCTGAGACCCCCAACCACTCTAAAGACTATCACTGTTAGTAATTTCCTTTGTTCTGCAGGTTCCTGGTGGGTCTCCTGGGCCAGCTTCAAGTGGCCAGTGATTAAAGAACATGGTTACCAGAAACCCATCTCAGTACCAAGCCTGGAAAGAATCTTCAGTATTTAAAATACTTTTTATTTATGTCTTTATTTACTGAGTATATGCAGCCACAGGTCTGCACAGTGGGGATCGAATCTCTCTGAGCTCAGGTCTGTCTCTGCTCATGCAAATTTGAGTTCCGTAGTGAGAAAGCAAAATTAGTCTGCCAAAGAACTGTGATCTTACACTACAGATAATTAAAGTGGGACTGTAAGTTTAAGTGACTTCTCTTCTCAAAGTCACAGCCAGGAATAGCAAAATTTACCTTTATATATTTGTTTGTTTAAAATAGGGTCTCACTATGTAGCTCTGGCTAGCCTGGGATTCACTATGTAGATCAGGCTGACCAGCCAGCCTTGTCTACTTTTGGAGACAGAATCTCTTGTAACCCAGCCCAGCCACAAACTTGCTAGGATAACTTTGAATTTCCAATGCTGCTACCTGAGTGGTCCTCCTCGGTGCTGAATTACAGATGTAAATTACCGTACTTTTTATTTGATTTTTGATTTTTGTGTCTGTGTGGAGGCCAGCAGTCATTGTTAGAGGTCTTCCTTAACTCCGGGGCTCATTTCTTTTCTGTTGAGATTGGGTCTCAATCTGACCATAAGGTTCGCCAATTCAATTACATTATCTGGCCATCAAGCCCCCACCTTCCTGCCTGCCTTCCCCAAGGCTGGAATGAACTTGACCAGTATTTTTATGTGGGTGCTGGGGACCAGATCCTCACACTTACACGGATGCTGGGAACCAGACCCAGACCCTCATACTGACACAGAAAGCATTTTACAAACTCATCTGTCTCAGCACTGTTTTGTTTTCACATTTTGAGACAGTCTCACAGAACTCAGACTGACCCAAACTTAGCACATAGCTAAGATGGCCTTGAACTCCTCATCCTCCTGTCTCTGTCACCCAGATATCTGAATTATAGGCGTAAGCTATTATTGCCAAGTGTCTCTTCCTTTTTATTACAGTTTTGAGCATAGCACTCAGTCTGTGTTGATTTCAGTGGCAAATTAGCAGGATAAAGACTTAAGTGGTGAAGCCGTAATATACCTGTAATCCCAGCATTCAAGAGGCTGGGGCAGTATTCAGAGTTATGGGCAGGCCAGCCTCGGTTATATAGAGAAACTCTGCCTTCAAAAGAAGGAAGAGAAGGTGGAAGGAAGAAGGGAGGAGGAGGGAAGAAATATAGAAGCAAAACAGTAGTTCCCCCAAGTCCTGGTTCCCAGCTGGGTCTCCTCTGTACTTCCATCCTCCATTTTCTGAGCCCCCGTGCCTCTGGCAGCCCTCCTCCTGCCTTTTGCTCTAAGAAGCCACTTTTAAGTCCCTAGAACAAAGCTTTAGAGCAGTAAATGTGGGACACAGTGGGGTGGGGAGGAGGGCTGTTAATTTTAGCCTGGGGTTCTCCAGCTGGCACTGTTTCCATCTTGAATCATTCCCACACCCTGAGCTCTGCTAGGAGATCCCTCCTCCCAGGGGCTTCCCCATCCCCTGCCTTGGTCGGCCACAAAGGTAAGCATTCCAGAAATGTGCCCAGGAGACCCTTGGCTGAGTCATTCCAGGTACTCCCTCAACAAAGAGAGTTTGGTGATGGGAGATGATGCCTTCTTCCAACTGGGCTTGTGACTTGTAGCCCCCAAGAAACTTTCAGTTCTCAAAAGAGCAGCTTGGTCCTTGTTCTTTTTCTCCTCTGTAACCCTATTGCCTGAAGACCTGAAGCCCCGAGTCACTGTTGAAGCTTTAAGAAAGAGAAAAATTAAGGCCTGTTCCTCAGGGCCCAAGTGTCGTCATGGTTAGCAAGCCACCAACCCAGTCTGGCAGAATTCCTCTAGGCCATCCAAACATCCCGATTGTCTTCTCTCTCCCATCTCTCTATCCATCTGCCTTTCCATGGGGGAGAGGGCATCTGGGGAAAGGGAACAGGTGAGACTTCCAGTGTCTCGCTGGTATATTTAATTTATTTAAATTTAGGAGGACTGCAGTCTAATCAGAAGGCAATTAATTCCTTGTTCATTAGGGGACTTCATGTGTGCCTTTTGCATATGGATGAGCCACAGGGTCACACTGTCCCTCTAAAGAGAGAGTTGTGGAAGGTGAGAGCCCAGGGAGCCCTCCAAACACGAGCAGCTTGCCCTTCTACACCAAGTGCTCTTTCATCCCCACTCTCCTTGGCAAGGACTCCAGCCCTGTGGGGAAAGCTGGAAAGGTTAAGAAGGCTCCTTCCCTTCCCTTCCACATAGCCCTTCCTTCCTTACTTACCTTCCTCACCCTGCCACTCGGTTCCCTCCTGGCCCCCTCCCTTTCTATTCCCTCTGGAGTCTCCTGGTACACTGTGTTGATAGCCCTCCTCAGAAGGCTTGCCTGTCTCCTACCCCTGCTGGTCGGTTCTCAGTTCATTACTCCGAGTGCTGCTTTCTGCTGGAGCAGGCCGTCCTCACACTACTCTTGTCCTAAGATATACACTCCTCCCTTCCCACACTCATTATTGGGTGCTTCAGGGGCTCAGCCACAACACCTTCAGTATACAGTACAGCTCTTCAGCATCTGAAACACACCTACCAGCACACATACTCTCTCTCTCTTACACACACACACACACACATACACACAATCCTATTTATAGCATCAAAGATAAAACACA